TCGCCACTTTCACAGACGGTGCCGATATCCTCATCAAGTCGGGCCCACTCGACCAGCCCATCACGTTTGAAGAAGCGCGCAAGAATGCATCTGCCTCCCAGTTGGCTGCGTAGAGAGCCGTCGACCATGCACTGAAGGCGATGGCCTACTACTTTTGCGCATCCTGGCCGGGCAGACGCCCTGCTCGTCAAGTGGCATACAGGAAATCAAAGCGTGTCTATGATGCCCTGCTGGATGGTATCGCCTTCCCACTCGGCTACACGGCCAAACGGAGCGTGAACGAGACTCACGGAGAGTCAATCGAGGTCTATGCGCTTGTTCCAATCGGAACGGAGGGCAAGAAGCTTCCTGCGATCTTCTCGCCCAATGGCCTCGAAGGCACGAACCAAGAAGTCATGTTACCGATTCTGCGTGCCAATCAGCGCCCACAAGCTGTGTACTTCTTCGTCGAAATGCCCGGAACATACGCCTACAGCAACCCCATGGCGCCAGCGGGGAGAACGGAAGCTATCTACTCGGATCTATTCACGCACGCATTGGCCCACAAGCGCGTCGACAGGGACCGTTTCGGCATCGCAGGTCTATCCTTCGGCGCTCACTGGGCCACTAGAATGACGATCCTTGATCCGCGAATCAGGGCAGCCGTCATCAATGGGGCGGCGATCAAGCACACGTTCTCGCTCGTATCTGGGATTGGGATACCAGAGATCATGATCGAGGCGCTGAGCAACGCTGCAGGCGCCGTCGGTCTGTGGGACATGCGCAAGAGGCTCAGCGCTCTTACCCTCAGCTCGAAGGATTTTGCGAAGATCAAGATTCCCATTCTGGTCATCAATGGAGATCACGACACGCTTTGCTGCATGCAAGACACTATTGATGTTCACGAGAATGTTTCAAAGTCGACGCTTCAACTCTACCCCGACGATGATCACTGTGCAATGAACCATTATGAGGATCAAGTCAAATTGACCAGCGTTCCGATTGTTCACTCTTCAGATGTTCGCGGGAGACAATTGGGAGGCGACCTTGTGAAACTTGGCTGTGCCACACGCCTTTTAGGGTTAGGGTTAGGGTTAGGGTTAGGGTTAGGGTTAGGGTTAGGGTTAGGGTTAGGGTTAGGGTTAGGGTTAGGGTTAGGGTTAGGGTTA